TCAACCAAGTCTCGTTAATAGAGAATGATTTTTTCCGAAATGGGTTTCATGCCTTGAGACCGAAGAGCTGATGTCAATTACTTCAAGGGCTGTTGCTCCCCAAGGCATCAACTGATACGTAACCCGATCGATTGGTGTTACTTGCTTAAAAACCTGCTTGGAGAAAGGAAATTTTGAAGAGGAAGTATAAGGTAGTTACTCTGGCACCTGTTTCCTGTTCTCTGAGCTAAAACAATGCCCAAAAGACAGTTAAGTTAAGGCAAAAGATTTGAGCCACGTTAAAAAAGGGAAAAGTAATACTCTGTCAACTAAACGTAGATGGAAATTGTTGAAAGATAAGCAAACTGTGCTGTAAGTGATCTTTCGAGAGTTCACAAGTACCTCATGCAATTAATGAGTTCCGAACGTCACGTAAAATATTTATTGAGAGCTTTAAGCACATTATCTAGATTATGCTAGATGGAAATTAAACAAACTTTACTGGTTTAGTATAAATAGAGATATTACATCTACAGGTTAAAGGTAAATATACATAACTGTAGATTAAAATCAATATTAAGATCATTTACCAGTTCATAAATATTGACCTATATAAATCACGTCTTCATGTCGAAATCTATTGAAAGAATCCATTGTTGTTTGTTGAGATCATATATATAAGAGAAGTGTATATATGGTTGAGATAGTCTGTAACTGACGAATTTTAATCTTTTGGTTGGTTTACGGTTGAGAATTTGGGTCATTTTCAATATAGTGGAATTGAATATCTTTAGAATAGAAATCCGCATATTATCTTATTGTGACACTTAATAGCTTCAATGCTGATGATAGTTTAATAGTTACGTTTCATTTATTCCATCTATTATAGTATCGCATTTTGTAGCATAATTGGCGTTGTATTAATTTACTTTAATATACCAGTATAAACTTAAAACTCATAGTACGGTAGGTTCAATAAATTCATTTGTTTTATTTTATTGGATGCTTCAAATTTTTCCGCATCTGCATTTTCAGACTATGATTAAGCGAAGAAGTAAAAATGTTCGAAGTGTCCGAAGAAGAAAAAACACCGAAGAATGCAAAGAATTTTACGAATCTAGCGGTACTAAAAAATCTAAGGTACAGAAAGAATTCTAAGAAACATCGGAAAAAAGTTCAAAGCCTGAAAAATTTAAATATGAAAATTGGAAAAATCTAAAGAATATGAGGAATCTAATATTCGAAGAATTTTAAAAATCTGAAAAGCCCTATGCATCTGAAAAGTTGGAATAATTGAAGAATCTGAGGGGGGGGGGGAGCAATCGTGTGCGAGCTTACCGTTCAGTTTTTACGACACGACGTGTATTGGTAATGTCTTCCATGCAGTTTTGTGAATGGCGTATAAACGTAAATCGTTCGTGGGTTTGAATTACAGTATGGTCATATTTTAAATAAATAAATTTTAATCTAAATAATTTTAAAACGTCGGAGAAAGAGTACGTGTTATTAAAATTCCCATACAGACAATTCGTATTAATGTAGCGTGTACGCATACTCAATTGTTATCAATACAATTAATATTAACTTGCCGTTCTTTAATTGCGACCAGATAAAGTTATCCTGGAAAGATGCACTACCTGTACCTCAACGCCTGTACGTTCGGTGACATTGTGAAGAAATTGTACTATAAACAAAACCTGGTCGTAATTAAACTTTCTAAGATTTCAAATGGCATTTTGTATACGAACAAACTCAAAACATAGGTGGAAAATTAGAGTGTGCCGCGTAGTTTAGAATTTGATTATTTATTCTGTGCACAAACGCGGTCGAGCCAAATATAAACTTCATTATCCTGATAATTTTCAACGGGAGACAATTGTACGAGAGTCAGTCACCAAAGGGTTCCCAAAACGATCCAGTTTTCAGTTCTTGGAGGGAACCTTTATCAAGGGACGGCCTAACTATTTTTTATTGGTGTTAATATTTGACCTAAAGCAAAACTAATGACTATATTCTCCACAGCAACTTTTCATACTCTTTAATGTGACGTTGTTAATTTTTTAATTTGACGTTTCGTCTCTGCGGAATCACCATTGATTTAATTTTTTAAAATACGTGTTTAATTTATTGTGTAATAATTAGTACATGTTGATGCAGGACCTGCACATAACTTGAAAAACGTTTGGGATTTCCCGAAAAAGTTGTTAGCACCCAACAGAAGGGAAACATGAAAATGATATTCTGGAATGTAGCGGGGGTATCTGGCAAAGATTCTCTCTCAATTCTGAAAGTTTGTAAGAGGATATGATGTCGTGGGAATGGTAGAATCATGGGCAAAAGAAAATAATTGGAAGAAAATAAAGCAATTCCGTATGAATATAATGTATCGCGAAGAAAAGGGGGTATTTTAACAGGGCTAGGAATAGAGAGCTAGGAAAGAATACAAGTCAAACGACTGAAGAAAGACAATGTGAGCGATAACGATATACAACACAGAAGAAATAAAATAGAAAATATGGTACATGAAAAAAAAAGGGGGAGGGGGGTGTAGATTCATTTTAATGGCAGTATACAGGAAAATGGATAGAGATGGAAAGAGGACCACAATATACAAAATCAAGAGATAATTATCAGAAATGAGAGGGTGAGAGAACCGGTAATTCACATACATGGGAGGAAGAGGGAAGTCGGTAATTGATTACATAATGTGAAATGAAAAATACTGGCGAAAATAGATGAATTCAAGGTTGAATCAAGGATAGAATCTGATCACCAACATATGTAATTGAGATTAAAAGGGAAGATAAGAAGGTCAAGAAATGAAAAGACAACAAGACGAAGGAAGATACAGTTATAACAAGAGACACGGTGGAGAAATAGAAGGATACCAGAAGAATAAGAGGGAACACAGAGAAGGAGTGGAATAAAGTGAGTATTAAAAAAAGCAATAATGTGGAACGAAATAAGTGAATGGGAAAATGAGGGAAAAATTAAAGAGGGGTGGGCCAAATAGTGTATAGAAGAGAGAAATTATTGAAAAAGAAAGAAGGGGGAAAGAGAGAGAACAGAAAAAAAGTACAAAAGAAAATGTAAAAAAAGCAGAAAGAAGGCGAAGAGCAAATCAAGGAAATAAAACATAAAATGATTTTTGGAACGTGATAAACATAGGAAAAAAGAAAAATAGTGGGAGAGAAAAACAATTACAGGAATCTAAAAAAACATTTTGTTAAGTTACAAGGAAAGCAGGAGGCTATGGAATAGGTAGGAAGAGAGGAGGTTGAAGGAGATGAGATAACAAGAGAAGAGATTGATCAGCAATTAAAGACTGAAGAAAGGGAAAGCGGGATGGGGGAGATGAGATAGGTAATGAGTTTTCGCCTCAAATAGGGTCAAGGAAAGGATGAGTCATCTAGTAAACAAAAACAAGGTGTGGAAAGGAGGGGGTTTACCCAAAGGGGTAATCGTGCCTATTTTCATAAGAGAGAACAAAGATTGTGTGGGAAACTATAGGAGAATTACTATAATAACTAGGGCGTATAGGATCTATGGAATGATCCGTGAACGAAAGACTAGAAAATGGGCAGCAGAAAAGGGAGGGGTCGATCGACTGCATATATGTATTACACAGATTGGTGGGAACGGAATTAGAAAAAAAAGGGCGGAAAGGTGTAAAGGACTAAGACAGGGATGCCCATCATCCCAACCGTATCTTCATGCGGGCGCCTGTAGGAACGGAAGAAACAAACAAAGAAATGGATATGGACGGGATGAGGTCGAAAGCAGGAGAGGAGTACGATAAAAGATGGAAAATGCGCTGGCAAAACAACATGACGTAGAGGGCGTATGCGAAAGCAGTAATTATAAACACCTAATAATAGAATGGTTATTAAAATATTTGTGGGAAGGAAGTAAAAATATTAAAACAGTAGAGAGATTCAGATGAGCAGATGAAGAGAGAGAAAGAGAAATGGAGACAAAAAGGAGATAGAAAATGTAGAATATGCGGAGAGAAAGAAGAGGACATGTTCTGGAACTGTACGGAGGTGGAGATGCCCTTTCATCTCCACCAATAGAAGAGAGATGCTGGATGAGGGGGGAGGAGGTGAGAAGTGGATGACGTGAATTTTAAAGAAAAGAAGGAAGGAATGTTCATAATGAAGCCCGAAAAAACTCTAAACCGCACTTAAACCATTAAGTGCTATTCATAATTGAATTCAGAATAAAAAGGGCTTTACAAATATGGTATAGAAATATCAGGGACGTATTAAAAAAATTAAGTTAATGATGGTTCAACAAAGACGAAACGTCGGATTAAAAAATTAATAATGACACCTTAAAGAGTACTAACAGTTGCTGCGAAGAAGTGTCATTGGTTTTGATCTAGGTGAAACATTAACGTCAGAACAAAATAGTTTGTAAAATCTAAAATCCGATTTGTTCAACATATTCCTAAAGCCCACAAATATACAGGGACATTTAAGCAAATTTGTATCTCTTACCGCATCTAGAATGCCCCCATAGTAACCCCTCTTAACTCGGACACAGTGTATATTACCATAGGTGGGGGTGCAACAAGGGTATCAAGCATTTCTTCTTTCCTATCAAAATTGCAAATGAGAAATGAAAACCACGACCCCAGGGCCGTAGCCATAGGTTGCCAGGAGGGAAAACTTTGGCGCAGTCAAAATAAATATCCCATGGGTTGTTTATTTATAATAACGGCGGAAGACCTGTCGTAATGATTGGCCTTGAAAACAATGAAAAACGTGGGCCGTGACCATGAGCAACTCAATGGGTGTTCATGTGTATAACGCGTTCGCGTATGATTATTTTACAACTTTTTGTATTAATACTTTCTTGAAGAAATCTGCAAAAAAGTGCAAGGTTACGTCACAAGTACGCACATGCCTGGTTAGAGTGAAAATGTCAGCATGTTAGATTGGCTGTTAATTAAACACAAAACTACAGCGGGTTACGTTTTTTTTTTTGGGTTAATGTCGTTAGGACATTGTATATCGTACCGATGCGTTTGACGTGCACGTCCCTGTTGAATGAAACGCGTGGTCGATTGGAACCATCAGATCGTTGGGAATCCGAGCGAGTCACATCAGGCATCACAGAGAACAGCTACCACCCTCTCATCCTGTAAACACCAGGACTGTTCGCTCATACTGTATAATTCATTAAGTGAGTGTGAGTGAAATGATAAAATATGGTCATGATTGATTATTATCAGTAGTTATTCAAAGGGATAAGGTTCTGACTTCATCAAATCACCCTCAAATTTCATTTAGTGGCTTATCCCCCTAATAAGAAGTAGACGAAAGTCGTAAAAGAAATAATTGCTTACTATACCATACCTACAATATTTGTGTACAAAAAATATTTTAATTTAAAATTAAAAAATTATCCTCGAGTGAGATAGAAGGGAGCGTATGTTTGTGTAGCAGATCACTATTCTATTATCCAGTTTTTACTCCACCATCAATAAGATCTTGTCGAATTCTACCACATTCCCTTTGTCGGTACCTACTTCTGACCTTTTGGGCGCCGAAGGTCGACTACCCCTCGAAGACGCGCCTTACAAAAGGTGGTTAATTCCGCCCCCTCGCCAAACCCCAAAAAACAAAATTCCGGCACGGCTTATGCCCGTTTACAAGATCTTTCCGACAACACCAATTTAAAAGCAATTGAAAAAGAAGAAGATAGGAAAAAACTGAAAAATCACCACATTAGTATAACACACTCGGAAATGGCGCCCAGATGTCGCCTACTCCACATCGCACATCATGTAGCTCCATTCTTGAAGTTGTTAATTACATGGCTCCGGTAGGTAGGGTAGATGTAATACACTCCTTGTTCTGCTGCGAGCCCGACACCGGAGAAATTGCGAGTTTTCTATGAAAAAACCTGATTTCACTTTTGCATTTTTTTTTGTTTTTCGCTAATAAAAAAATTCTAACCTACTCAAAACAGTTATCGGTTCTGGTCATAATTTCACTGCAAATTTACTCAACCAGCTGCAATTGGGGTTGGCGACCGCTGGCCTATACTGGAACCTCCTGTTAATTTTTACTTAGACTTAGACACATTTGCTTCTCTGGAAATTGATTCTTCGCTTGGCCCAGAAGTCAAATAAGATTTAATGTTATATTTCCACTCCCCCCTCCCTTCCCCTTTATGCTCGCTCGAGTATAAATTATGCTAATTAGTAATATTTTATTATCATGCCAAATAAATGCCAAATGTGATTATTTTTCATGACTCCTGAATATTTCAAAAAAAGCCTCCAGCTAGGGTGAAAATGTTCACCATTTGATTTAACACCATTTTCATAGTTTATTGATAAAAAGTGTCTTTCCTTGGTTCCTCTTCTACCAATTATTGTCACTGCTGCAACAAAGTTACTGTCAACTTTATGGGCCCCATTTTGTGCGCCTAATGTGCGCTATAATTATAATGGAACAGGTGGTATCGTTATGGAATAAATGTATCCAGGCTAATAATTTCGAAACACATACGCATATGCAAACTGAAGATAAACGAAACTTTATGGACTCTATTAAAAATGAGTATAGCTCTTGAAAAACGTTGTATCAATAAATACATCGTCATTAGACGATATCGGAACAGATTTTACGACATTGCACTTTCAAGTTGCGAACGGTTTTTAAAGCATAAACAACCGCTAAATGTTTCACTTTTTACTAAAGTAATTTTCATAAATGAAGAGGCGTAGTAGGCATATAAAAATAATTACCCACAACGTGCAGCAATGCAAATAACCTTCCTTAGAGCGATTTTTAATTTCTATTTACATGCAGTTATAGATGAGCAAATTTAGATAAGTGAACAATGAAAGAACCTTTTTTTAAGATGACAGAGAATATGGATAAATGGTAATAGAGTCAACCTTGGTTCGGCCCACTTTTCTTCTTTTAATGTATATCAATAATAATATAATGGATAATTATAGCATTTTTTAAGGAAGAACCTATTGTGGTCGTGACAGATGCCAATCGCACTTGCATTCATGCATTGTCCGTTAAACTTATCCTCCAAGAACGTGTTTTATTATGTGAAGGTAATGAGAAAAATTCGCCTTTTTTTAATTTATACAAGAATTAGAGATCCTTGGGGTATTACAAGGCGCATAATTAAATACTGTTAGAGATTTGATTACTTAACCTCTATCGCAAAGCGCCGATGTGTGAACTAAAAGGTTTGTCATGTAAGAAGTAAACTGTTCATTCCAATTAAGAAATTAACGCTACTAGTACTCGGACATTAAAATTTACAAAAATTATCCGCATTTTTACGACATCATGATTTTCTTCCGTTGGGGTAACGGATCATATCAAGGTATTTTCGATTATTATAACTGAGATGATGCCGCATCTGCGTGATGCGATGAATAATACAACTCAAATTAAGAGTGCTAATTCATTTTCTTTCAATGGAACTTGCAAGTAAACAAATTGCTTCTCAATGAACGGATAAACGAATTAACACAGATAGTTGGACTCAAGTGACATGGAAATTGTAAAGAAGGCCTTAGAATGATTGACCAAGCAGTCTTGAAAATAGTAATTACTATTTATCACTCACAATTTATAACATAACACGAGCGGGAGCGTAATAATTAACTTCGCATCGATGTTAGAACTAACTTCAAACACAATTCGATTTAATTATATAGTAAACAACAATCTTTCTAGAATGTTCTCGATTTCTCCCGAATGCTTCCGAATGTTCTCGAACAAACACGTCATATTTCCCGGAAAGAATGCGTGTCTTATCGCCGATGATCGATCTGATTTCTACAATATTCGCTACAATTAATTACTTCTTCTAAGTTGTATGTCTTCACCGGAAGTAATCCACCATTATGCGCTGTTATCGGACACGGAGTATGAAGAGCCAACAACGTTGTAAAAGAGAAACCAAAGAATTTTTATGCGATCTTATCAATTTTTAGCCACCTATTTCCCGAAATATTAGAAATTCGAGAAATCTTCCTAAAAATCATCATTGTATTTTGCAATAATACCCTCCCTTCCTTGGAATAAACTCGATTTTTTTAACCTGAACCTGAAATTTTTTAGTTCAATAAATAAAATGACCTACGGCTAGTTCTGGTAACAGATTTTCTTTACGGTGACCTACCCGCTGAAAAACTTCCCTTTCTTCTATAGTCCAGGCTAAATAGCTCTAAAATAATTTATTTTCAAAAAAAAATTAGTTACCGGGCGAAAGCGGGTTTTTCAGGCAGGCGAAATAAATAGAAATTGGGAAAAAATAATTAAAACAGCTGAATTTTTCCGCGGGTGAAATTCCGGGGGTTGAAAGGGGTGGAAACTGGTGTTTTGCAAATTGTGGCAAAACTATTAATTTTAGACGAAAATGTTAAATGTGAAAATTATAGATATTATTTAAAAAATGAGCAACTTTTGTATCTACACTATTTTCACATAACCTCAAATTTTCCTAGAAAAACCAGAAAAACTTCTTTTCGTTTTTTATTCTTATTTTTGCGAAAAAATGTCGTAGGGGGAGGAAACATAGCTTGTTTTATGATAAAAAAGAAGATAATGTTTTGGGCCTGTAAAGTTGAACCGTTTCCAAGATCTCACGATTTCTGAAAAAAACCACCTATTTTTCAAGGGGATGAAAAATCTATTTTTTTTCGTTTTTTCATCGTACAGAGGTGCGCGGGGTAGCAAAATTTTCGTAACGGCTTACATTTTAATAATCAAAAATAAAAAATGTTATTCCAATAGAAAAATTTTAAGAAAAGCGGCAAACACTGAAGGAACAGTTTTAAAGTATACCGTTTTTGAGAGTAGGTAAATAACTTTTTTTGCAACTAAATTAACGTATTGGATCCGCGCTAATAAAAAGTTTTTAAAATCTGTCTTTTCTTCCCTCTGTAATGTTGCTAAAATATGTTATTTTATTTCCCAGTGTCCAGCTGCCTTAATTAAAACATCTTTGTTATTTCTTTTTTCTGCATTTTTGCCGCAATAAAAGCAATTCGAAGTAAAATCGAATTCTTTTGCTTCCTGAACAATTTGTTTTTGTTCAATAACTCTTCTTCCTACCTGTTTTACAGCTGATGGGATTAAGCTGGCCCTGTTGATCGTTTTACAGTAATTATGAATAAAATCCTCAGAAAGTTTATTCCAGGTTTTACATCTCAAATCATTTGCTTTGGTCAATGGCCGGTAAAACTAACGTTCTTATTTCAGATTTTGCAAGTTTTCAAAAGGCCCAACGCAAAACAAAAGGAAATTGTTCAGGAATCAGGAAACAAGACAATCCGATTTTATTTCGAATTGCTTTTATTGCGGTAAAAACGCAGGAAAAATAAATAATAAAGATATTTTAACTAAAACAGTTGAGCATAAGATAACAAAAGAGAATATTTAAGCAAACATTAAAGAAGCAAGAAGACAGATTTCGAAAAAATCTTTATTAACATCCAATATGTTGATTTGTCATGTCAAAAACCGTGTAGGTATATCTTAAAACTGTTTTTCCAGTTTTTGGCGATTTTCTCGAATTTTTGCTATAGGAATAATATTTTTTTTATTTTTGTTTATTAAATTATAAGTCTTCTCGAAAATTTTGCTACCCCGCGCACCTCTGTACGATGAAAAAAAATAGATTTTTCATCCCCCCGAAAAAAAGGTGGTTTTTTCAGAAATCGTGAGATCTTGGAAACGGTTCAACTTTACAGGCCCATAAAACAAGCTATGTTTCCTCCAAATTTCAAACCCATACGACATTTTTTCGCAAAAATAAGAATAAAAAACGAAAAAAACAGTTTTTCCGGTTTTTCTAGGAAAATTGTGAAAATAGTGTAGATACAAAAGTTGCTCATTTTTTTAATCTCTATAACTTTTACATTTAACATTTTCTGCTAAAATTAATAATTTTGCCACAATTTGCAAAACACCACTTTCCGCCCCTTTCAATCCCAGTGATTTCACCCTCGGGAAAATTCAGCTGTTTTAATTATTTTTTCACAATTTCTATTCATTTCACCTGCCTGAAAAACCTTGCGTGGTATTCGATATTTAAACTCTGTTTAAGTAACTCTCTTCAATTCTTACTTTTATTTAAGTAATATTCTTACGCCAT